GCACGGCCGCAAAGTGTGGCGACATGGGTGCGTCCGGTGCGCGAAACCAACTAGCAGCGGGTAGGTCTAATTATTGCTGTATTGGTGCGGGTAGGTCTGATTATTTGTTGTATGCTTGAATCATGTATTGTTTTCGGCATGGTCCGTTTTACCTCTTGGCTCAAGCCCAGGTTGGAAATGATACTAGGTCCTCCAGTTTTGGAGGTTAGAATAAGGGTACCAACTTTTTTCTGTAGTCTATTTTAGTAGGGGAACCCTCCCCCAAACAAGAAAGGGGTGAGAAAGGGCACTACTGGGGGTAAAAGGGCACTACTGGGGGACCTAGAATAGGATCCGCCTGCAAACCGGGGCTTGACCTTCAGCCGATCGCTTGGCCCGCAGGTGGATCCCGGCAAACCATACCCTGCCAGGGGCCCCACTGAGCGGCCAAGTACTTGCGGTCCGTCTGGTGCAAATGCCTCGGCGGATGCGAAGGAATGTACAAGGGCAAACACACGCACAGATCATGATGTGTATGTATGTGTATATATATATATGTATGTATGTATGTATGTATGTATGTATGTATGTATGTATGTATGTATGTATGTATGTATGTATGTATGTATGTATGTATGTATGTATGTATGTATGCGTTGAGAGCTACCCTACATGCACATGCCTAAACATATCATGGTGTATCTCAATTTTCAGTAGTAGCCAGTTTGGGGCGGACCACCTCGTTTTGCAAAGGAACGGTGCAACAACACTTGCAGGACACAAGCGTGCCGCTACATCTGCAACACTCCTGTGCGCAAAGCAACCTACTTTGTTCTCCCGCATCGTTCTTTCAATCATCTGAGGAGAAAGCTGGACCGTCCATATGGGCCATGGTTCACTTTGCGAAGGCAGCATCCGATTTTTTTGCGGACTGGTTTTATCTCGGAATGACTTGAAACCATGTAGGGCAAGAATTACAAGCGCACTTGAGCTGAGTCACAATCAACTCCCGGTATCAAAATGGTCGACCCAGAACCATGTAAAGAACTAAGAAGGCGGATATCCGCAGCCATTTATGGTTGGGATTATCCCTATATTAACCTTCATCTACCCGGGTTTTGATTGTGGCTCAGCTGTTGCTGCGTTCTTCGCGTTTACTCTCTCACAGCTATCTGGCTCACTGCCAGGTCGGACCGATGGCGGGAGCCTGCAAAAAGCATCAGTGACACAGCTTTCACAACTACCACATACCCTCTTTTTCAGGGTCTCATGTCGACCCTCTACTAAAAAAGGAAGTATTTACCATGAAAAACAAGGTTTTCCCTACAATACCCTGAAAAAAGCGGATATTTTGAGTAGGGGGTATAATATATCTCGTTTCATCTCGTGGTGCATGGTTTTCTACACAACGATCTCGTTTTGATTTCGTCAATTTGGGAAACCATATCGTTTCACAGCACCATGCCTTCTTTTTGTGGTGTTCCGACAGTATCACAACATAATAAATTGTCGGTTATTTGATCTGCCTCTCTTATATTTAATGTATATATATATATATGTGTATATATATAACGCATCCTAGGCATGCGCGTGTATTTGTGTGTGCATTTGTATTTGCACGCCCTGAGGTTCAAGGATTCAAAGAATGCGCTGAGCACAAAGTTCCTTTTGAAGCGTTCGAGCACGAAGTTGCCCTGCGAAAGCTTCTCAAAAGGGACTAGGTTTTCAAGGGGTTCAATTGAGGCGGGGGTGCAATAACAAGCAGGCCCCCTCTTCTCAAAGCTTGTTTCCAGGACATAGGGTTTGTCTCGACATCAGGGGACCCTCAAAAAAGCGCTTCCTGTAAGCGCGTTTGCATCCGCAAAACGCGCTCGCTAAGTGCTCGGCTTCTTGATGCAGTCATCCATCCTGGGGCAGACATGCGTTAGTCGTGGTGTGGGGCCCGGTGGTTTGGTGGTTTGGGGGAGGCTTCCCAACACCACAAGAACCAGGGCTTCAAATCCAGATCCAGTGCCCATCAACCCAAACCACCAATTGGAGGGAAGCTGAACACCGGGCAGTAGGGGTGCCCTGGGTCCAGATTTTGGATATGAGCCACGCTCACCAAACCCACCCACCAGTCCATCATAGGTGAAAGGGAACATTGGCAGCAACGAAGCCTGAGAGGGTCCGTTCGCAGTCGTCCCTGTCGCCATTCAGCCTACCTAGACCCTCGAACTACCCGTAAACAAAGGGAATTCACCCCAGAATTTTGGGGCAATGACTCATTTTTAAGGGAATTCTGGAGGGATCCCTTTTCAATTCCCTTCAGCGCCAAGCCCCTTCCACGCGAGCTGCTGGTCCTATCAATCCCATTCCGGCGAGAGCAGCGGCTTTGACGCTTGGCCATGCGCAACGAAGAATTAAACAAAACATTGATCCGATAATTATGTGTTTCGACCTAACATACCCGGCCCACCGCGAAATGTGCTTCGTAATTGGGAGAAACAAACATGGAGCATGTCTTGAATCCAACATCTGGCTGAGTTTTACACAGCGCTAAATAAGAAACGGACACGCCCGGACACCTGATGGCTCTACCGGCTACTGATGGTTGCGAAATCCGCTTCGCACCACGTGGCTACCCTTGTTGAAGCCAAAGCGTTGCCTGGTATTTTCGCTCTGGGGAATCAGATCCTTCCAGGGTTGCACGGTGCGACATGGGATTTCGTCTTCATCCCCAAGCTATGAAGGCTATGGCTTATATCGCCCGCACTCTCATCCCTCGGTGCTTGCCTAGGCCCTCCAGTAGAGAGGTTAGAATAAGGGTACCCGTGTCGCCTTTTTTCCCCCCTTTTTTCTGTAGTCTATTTTAGTAGGGAGCCCTCCCCCCAAAAAAAGTCGGTAAAAGGGCACTACTGCGAGACCTCGTTGCGGTTTCACGCTCCCTCTCAGACGGCCTCCTCTCTTGGGCTGGTCCAAAGGGGCGAGCTCCACACCTCTCAGGTGACCTTAAAAGGGACTCGTAGGCTTCAGTATGGGGCCCTCAGCCCCCCCCTCCGGAGAGCCCGCCTTGGAGGTGAATGAAGTGAAGAGTGGGTTCAAATATATATATATATATATATATATGTATCATGCTAAAGCCGGACCTGTCCAAAAATCTCACCGCACTTTACAAATCGCACGTCTGACTCCGACTAAATGTGGCGAGCCACTCCCTCTTGGCGATGTTATACTCCAAGAGTCTACGCCTGCGTCCGAAGATGGTTTCCGCAGCCAAGACTTGGATGACCGGTGGTCCGATTCGTTCAGTTGCCATGTCTGGCAAAACACGATGGACAGCTCAACTCGGTTGCTTTCTGCTCCCCTGCTAAAAGTTTAACTTTTAGTGGTGTATTGGAAACTCATTAGTTGGCAAAAAGTTAAAGTCACAACATCCAAGCAACATGCAGCAAAGTGATTCTTCAATGTCGGTGTTCGAAACAATCCGAAAGTGGTTTTAATGAAAATGTCCGATGAGCATGAAAATGTCCGGCAATAGAAACCGAGGGATGGCAATGTGAGCTGCCCTTTCCATGCTCAGGTGCCTGAAGGCTGATCCGCTGCCACAGGTGAGCCCTGTAGAACCGTTCAACACAACATCCTCCCCAAAAAAAAGAAAAGAGGGGCAGACTACAATAGACGCACGCTGGATCTAGTCATGTCCAGCTCAAACTATCTGGGAGAATCAAGGCTCAATTTTTGCCGTCGACCACTCCTGGAAACAGCTTTGACAACAAAACGGGTGGCAAGCAAACACGATAAGGTTGTTTGAAAGCAACCTGAGCTTGGCAGCTCAGGTTTTACGAGTGTTTGGGTGGTTGCGAACCATCACTGTCCGCCAAATGACTAACATAAGCTCACGGGCGCTGATCTGTGACAAACCGCGACTCCAGTTGCAATTCTTGGAATGCCACAGACACTTGGAAAAAGGTTTCGGTCCTCCAGTTTTGGAGGTTAGAATAAGGGTGCCAACTTTTTCTGTAGTCTATTTTAGTAGGGGAACCCTCCCAACCAAAAAGGATAGAGAAGGGCACGATCCTGGAGGACCTATTCGACACCAAAATATGACGTGTTAGTCTTGTTTGGGGTTTTCTGCCTTTAGCCTCTAATTGCCCTGTGGTGTTTCCTTATTTGGCTGTGGGTCAAAAATGTACCCGAAATGGAACCTTGGCAAATGGAAACATGGACTAAAACCTGCGGTCCCCTGGTGGTTTAATTTTGACCCATAGCCATTTACTGTCTGGGCCATGATGTACGTACTTGGCATGCAACCTAAAGAAAGGTCCCAAAGCTCCACTAACGGTGGGTTTTGGGATGCGAAAACGGGCTCAGCCAGCCATCCGTTCCTGGGTGAGACTCTTTCACTCGCCAATTGCCCGGAGTGCCCCTCTCCTCCAATAATCAGATCAGGAAAAAGTACGATCAACAGGACAATGACAGTGTCTCGTTTTAGGGAACTACCAAAATGGGTGATGTTCCTTTTGTTTCCAACAAACAAAGGGTTCCGCGGCTTGATACATAACCGTTCAAAACTTGCAACAGATGTGATGGCAATCTCTCATCCTCAGCGAACAGGTGTGACCCTAAATTAGACATCCCTTAAAACATGTTGGCGTGGCCAATAGCAAGACCACCACCACGGGCGGCTGGTGCCTACGCTTGTCCAGGTAGGACTTCATGTTCCGGTTATTCACAACCTCAGCTGTCAGCTTTTTTCTATTGGCCGAGGGCACCCCAAAAAAAGGTCTTGGATGGCCTTGGGTCACTTGGGTCCCAAGACCGGCAGGACCTTGGTCGTGCCAAGGTCGTGGTTGGGGGCTGGGGGCCCGCCTTGCATGAGGCAACATGCGCTTCATGGGAGGGCCGTGTCAGCAGTACATCCATCGACAGCACACGTGCAAATCACCCTGTTTGTGAACACTCCTAGAATCGACATTGTATGGAATGGACGGTTCTGCAGAGGCTTACAAGCCTGTGAATAGACAAGTAAGGCCGATGCTCGCTGATTACCCAGTGTGCCTGACTGCTTCAAAACTTCAAAATAGGGATCCCCGACAAATGATTTACCTTTGCGTGCTTGACCCCCTCAAACCCAAAAAAACAACAGCTGAAGGGGACCATTTGGAGAAAACACGGATTAAACACGGAATCCCCCTTTTCGGCATTTTTCGCCACGGAACTTCCGGATGGGTCAACTCTAGTCAGCCTTTTTGCAATCTTGAATACGCCAAAACAGGGGGACCGACAAAACGGGATTTCGATGTTCCTTTTGGTTTCTCACTCAATTTGAAAAGGGAAAGCGACCGCCAAGGGCCCCGATTGGAATCTCCCAGATCTAGGGCCCCGACGTGGCATCGCAAGGGGTTCATGATATTGAAGTCCTCCGCACATCAAGTGGCAAATCAAGTGACTCACCCGACTGCCTCGAGTTTTTATCTGGGTCTCCAGAGCACGCGGCAGAAATAACGTCCAATCGCCGACCCTTCTCAGAACTCTAACCACGCAACCTTCAACCGGTGTATTTCCTTTTCGCAGCCGGAGACGGACGACTCCGACTGCGTGCGTCTGATGATTCACTTGCTAAGTCTCCTTGTGCCGATCATTCGAAACTCGCAGCCCGGAAAAAGCAGACTTAGCCTTCCATCTCATGTCAGGAATGAGGCAAACAAATTCATGCCTGGCAGCAAGGCAAGTAGTCGGTGGCATGCCGTGGGGAAACTCTATGGGGACAATTCATCCCATCGCCAGCCAACTTGCTAACACTGGCGGCTCAAACATATGTCAAGTGAACATTCTCCCAACACTGTAGATAGACATTTTACCAGCCAATGCGAATTCTAGGCATGTCTGCACCCGAAATAGGCTCCAGCAAATTGATCTCAAATCAACACACGCCGAACACGTTTGTTGGGGTTCCGAAGCTGAGAGAAAACGCTTTCTCCACAGAAAGTTCCTTGGCCGCTGAGTTGTGTTGGGCCGCCAGACTTAGACCCCGTTCGAGTTAACTTTTTGCTGGAATGGTACCATGAACCACGGAAACGTTTCGAGGAACCGGACCCGCTAAGAAATGAATCCTCAAGCCCGAATTGGCAAAGCGAAGTCCAATGTGGGTTCGCTAGAAGTTGAGGACGTTTCTCTAAACCCCCCAATCTATTTGACCCCTGTAATGTCTTCGGGTTCCAAAAGCAGGCCGCGGCTTGGTGCATGGCCTTTTTCACAAAGAGAAAAAAACCTGAGGGCCCCTTAATCTCAAACAAGTATACAAGGGGATATGCCTGAGAAAATTGGGGGGGGGGGGGGGCGAGGACCCGGGGCGCGCGCCGTGCACCCTTAACATTACCCACACGAAAGACACTTTTGCCCTTGATTGATTCCTGTTTCACTTCCCCCGATAGAGGCTTGGTCCTGGGGTCCACTCCTCGGTGGACGTGCTCCAACATATACAAAGCGGAATGGTTTGAATGGCTCCCCATCCATGCGTATATAGCTCCGCCTTCTGTTCTTGAGACCATGGGTCCGCCTCAAAATGCAACCATTTAAAACCCAGAAGGGTACGTACAACCTTAACAAAAAGTGGATGGACGAAATCCTGCAGCACTCTCAAACCATGTGAAACCATTGTTTGTCGAGGGCGACTCATCATTGCAGGATGTGTCCATCCACAGTCTCATGGAAAAAAAGGCCATGGGAAACCATTGTTTTGGTATTTACCTGCGAATCATCATTCCAGGGTTCGTTATGTGCGGGAACTCGTCCACCCACAGTATGATGGAAATAGGCCCTGGTTTTGGTTTGCTCGTCTTTTTTTTCTTCTTTTTGTTCCTTTCTTTTTTCATGTGCAGGACTTCGTCCATCCACAGTCTCATAAAAAAAAGGGCCCCAGTTTTGGGTTTCCCTTGGCACGCCATCTCACGCGTCCGGTCCATATCACGTCGGAGCTTGGCAATGGCGCTGTGGGGCGCGTCTCCCCGGGTGATGGCATTGGTGGCCTGGGGAGCCCGGGCGTGGGTTTTGGGTTCGAGGGTGCAACATCGGTGTGGGTCAGAAATAAGGTAACCCCAAACCGGAACCCTGGTAAGTGGCAACATGGACTAAACCCGCAGGCCCCTGGTGCTTTAATTGTGACCCATACTGACCTTTGTGCGGATGTCCGGATCCCAATTGCAACCAATGACTCTGGTACTGTAGAGAAAAATAAGCCGAGGTGGTATCCACAACAGCCCCGGAACCCCCCCTTTTGAACCCCCCCTGAAAGCTGCGCCCAACCACCCCAGAGCTTATCTGGGCCTATCAACCCCACAGCTTCCAGGGGAATGACACGCTACAGGCCAAAGTTTGGCCGGAAATCAAAACCTCATGATCTACCCAGCGGGTTTATCAGCTTCGGAGCAGCCCGATGGTTTTATTTGGCTTGGGCAGAATAGGGTTTAGGCTTCGTGTTAATCTTCCAACCACATCCAACCACAAATGGAAAAGCTGAATCCTGCGAAATCGCAACACGTGGGACTTCTTCACATAGCAGGACTCACAAACTGGACAGCTTCTCTCAAACATCGGTTTGATGTTCTGGTGGTTTGACAAAATAATGTAACCACCACAAAGGGGGTGCCATCAGAAGAAAAAAAAGAGAGAGAGAGAGAAAAGAACCCATGTTGCTAAGATGTTGTTTGATTTCGGAAATGAAGGAAACTCAAAAGGCAACGGGTTACACGTGTAAGCTTAGTCCAGCCATGTTTGTGGTATCAATTACATGCGGATTTATGTGCACCAACTGTTTAGGGTCGCCATCAGAATCAAAACTCATGGCCACAAAGAGGCGGCAGTTGCACTACATGCGCTTGAAGCACGACATGGCTAAGACCTAAGACTCATGCTAAACAGGTGAAAATGGGTTGCCTTTCAAGGGTGTCCGAAAGGGTCCCATTCTGGCAATTCAATGCGAATGGATGTTGGTAAGTAGCCTTCAACTATGGGCCGAATCGCGCCCGACTGTCAAACTGACCGATTCTGCTTTTGGCGAACCTTTGTATTTGAGGTGCCGCTACAAAATAAAAAATGCAAATTACATACTGTGGGTGGACGAAATCCTGCACCACTTGGAATAGATGAACCCCACAAATAATGGAGAAACCACCTACCAATAAATGGTGCAGGATTTCGTCCATCCACAGTCTGTTTTTGACCATTTGTAACCTCAAGAAAATACAAAGAATGTGTCTTCACGTTCTGAAACCTCCATTAGTGAGGGCGCTGGCGAGCTCGCCATACGAATTGCCCAAATGGGCCCCGACGCGCAAGCGCACGCGCACCTCTTGGATGAACAAAAAGGAACTTGCTCCACTGCAAATGAACATGGAACCCCAAACACCATCACTGTTGATGGAAACGGCTTTTGGTTGCTTTCGATTCATTGGGAAAGGGTTTTTTGGGTTTCATGATTCCAATTGTGGAGCACAACGCCGACAATTCCCCGCCCGCGAAAAATGCGTCGCCTCACGCATCATCCTCTCGACAGACCAGTCCGCGCTTTGCTGCCTGGGATCGTCCACCACAGGCAAGGCACTGGACGCCTGGCATCGAAGGAGCTGTACGCGAACAAACCGAATACTTATCACTTTTTTTTCGCTCTGCTTTTTGGCGCACGGAACGGTCACCACACAACCATTCCCGACTGGCGGGTGGTTGACAGCAGCCGGATTTCAGGACACCAAACTGTGAGACTGCGGCAAAAAGAACTTGTAGGAGAGACCTAGCAAAGGCTGCAACGGCACACGGGAAAGTGGGCGCGCTGCCAGCGCGGCCCCGCATCCCACCATCGCCAGCATATTCTCAGATTTGCCAGAGGATTTCAGGGGAAAAAAAAGGCTTCGCGCATCCTTGATATGTTTTGGGTCTCGGTTGCGCTTTAAAGCGTAAACCCTTCAAAAAAAACAAACGGGCACCACTGGTAACGGGCGCATTGCCCATCAACCGCCGCAGGGGCGCTTACGGTCAGAGGTGTCTTTCCTTGGCACTCGCCAGGACACGTGGTCACACTCTTCGCGTGAGCCTCTTTCAATTGCTGTGGCCGGGGACAGTGGATCCCCCCATGTCCGGCGGGTTCGAACCCACACGCACAACCACGAACTCCCTTGCCGTACAGCTTCGCGCGCTAATATGCAGCCAGCCAGGCCCAACCAGCCAGTCAGCCCGCCAGCCAGCCAGTAAATTGCAGGATTTTATTTGCTCCTTGGAAATTTTTAGGGCATTCCAGGGTCCGAACAGGAGC